TAATTGTACGGGCGGAGACATCCAACGTAAAACGTAGGATGCGTGCGCATCTTATGGGGAAGTTCAATCGTGTAAGCGTTGCCCATTCGGCGCAACACACGAAATGGAACGATGTACTGGGGCATTCGTTTGCTGCTGCCCACGTTTGTCACTGCGAGTTTTGGTAGTTTTACTACTGACAGTAAAACTAAGTCTCTTTCATTAAACGAAAGAGCATTTGCTCTTCCGTGTTTGTCTGCATTTCTCTTCTGTCTGTCCAATGCATCTGCAATAGAGTCTTGAACGAAGCGGACAACCGCTTCGCGGGTCAGCAGAAATTCCTCAGCTGATTCATCCTTGTCAACAGCAGTGTGCTTCGTGTGCACTGCTGAAAGAACGTTGTCTATACCAGTGAGGGTGTCATCGTCCTCACTTTGGCGGTCATTGGCGATGCTGAATATGCCAGAATCGTCGTCATCATAATCATCGATGTCGATCCCATCGACATCGGCATCCATCACGTCGACACCATTGTCGGCGGGTCATGAGCAAGAACCAGATCGGTTTTTGTTCGAGCTAGTCCACCCCCCCCTTGAACTAGAGTCACACTCTAAGAAGTCGGACAAACGTGGATGGCGTACGCCATTCACGATGAACGGTGTATGCGTTGTCGACACCTGTCCTAAGCTGATGATGGCGAATTCTGCCATCGTCAAGAATTCACTCCAGCTCGTAAACGAGTGGACATACCCTCGAATTGTGTCTTCGAGGACGCGGTTGACGCGTTCCGTCCGACCACCTTTTTCTGGATGGTCAGAAGTTGACATCTTCAAATGCATTCCAAGTGAACGGAACACAGATTGCCAGAACTCCGCTGTGAAGTGGGGTCCCAATCGGACACGAGTTCACGGGATAACCCGTGAAGTCGAAGGATAGTATCGATGAAGACACGAGCACAGCCTTGGGATGTGATTGAATCCGGTACAGAAACAAGATGTACCATCTTGCTGAACTGATCAACAAACACAAGAATACTGGTAGTCGTGTGAGCGTCTTTGGGAAAATTAAAGACGAAGTCCATCGATACGGACTGCTAGCACTCTGCCGGAATCGGTAGAGGCTGCAATGGTGCGCGAGATGAACGACTAAGCTTCACACGTTGACAAACTTCTTAAGCGCGAATGCATTTGTACACAAACTCATACTGGCGGGGCCAATAGAAGTCACGACTCACCGTGAGGTAAGTCTTTTCTTTACCGCGATGCCCGCTTGTCGGGGCATCGTGACACTCATATATGATGCGCAATCGCACATCATTATGAGCCGGAACGACGACACGAGGTGTGTCGCCGTTGACTGCTGTATAGTACAGCAGCCCATCACGGACCGAATACCGTTCGGTTGAAGAGCGGTATTGAGACGACAAGATTTTCAAAGCTTGATCACACGGATTGGATACGTGATCCATCAACCGCAGAAGAGACTCATCTTCTGTATATGCTTTTCGCACGTCATCGAGTAGCTTCGACGACGGAACACTCACTGTTAGTGTCGCGACAGTGGGATCGCCCCTACTGTTGGGTGCGCAGTCAGCTCGAAATCGGGCCGACGCGAAAGAGCATCAGCGACGACATTATTCCGTCCTGGTTTTTACTCGACGGAGAAGTTGTGCTCCGCAAAAAAAGACAGCCACCTCGCCATTCGTTGCGAGAGTTGTGGACTATTCACGGCCGTGCATTATAACGCATGGTCGGTAGAAACGATGAAGGGCCTATATCCTAAGAGACATAACCGAAACTTAGCCAGTGCATATTTCGTGGAGAGGAGTCCCTTTTCATCAACCAAATTAACTCGCTCAGCTGCTTGCAGCTGACGCGATTGATGACAGACGACGCGCTCAACGCCGTCTGAGTCGTACTGCATTAACGCGCACCCGATTGCAAAATCGCTAGTGTCACAGACCACATGGAATGGTCTGTCATGGTCTGCAATCGATAACACAGGCGATTGCACCAAGCTTTTCTTGATGCCTTAAAAGATTGCTGACACTCAGCGCTCCATGACCACCTCTCGTTTTTCTTTAGCAGACGAGAGAGATGTACGGTCACCTCGGCATAGTTGCGCGAGTATTTGTGCAAGCACGCTGCCAAGCCAAGGAACTTTCGAAGTCCCGTGTCGTCGACTGGCACAGGCCAGTCCCTAATCGCCTTGATCTTTTCCGGATCAGGGCGTACACCGTTTTTACCCACGATGCAGCCAAGAAGTGGTATTTCGTTTGCTGCGAATGTACACTTCTTGAGGTTCGCGAACAACTTATAATCTCGCATTAGAGTAAGAACCTTCTGGACGTGGATTCTATGAACCTCCACGTCCGTCTTTCCTCCCATTGTCCGGCTATGGACGAAGACATCGTCGAAGTAACTCAATACGAAATCGCGCACAGATCGCGACAGATTTGTAACCCATCTGTTGAACGTTGCAGGGGCGTTACTTAGCCCCTGTGGCATCACTAGCCACTCACAGAGCATATCAATGGGGGTACTCACTGCTGTGTACGGGATGTTCCATTCACGCGTGAGGATCTGATAGAATCCATCCATCAGATCCATGGACGAAAATATGGTACTTTCTTCCATACCAACTATGATGGCGTCCTTTCTTGGTATCGGCGTTTGAGCCGGTATCGTAGCAGCATTCAATTAGTTGAACGCGTACACTATACGCCACTCCTGTGGCCTTTCGTACACCAAAATGTCGGAAAGCTGTGTGGGGATGTTGATTCCCTCGCATGACCAGCCGCTAAGCGATAGGCAGATAATTTGTCGATCGCTGTGACTTGTTCACGAGGCAGTGGCCACTGCTTCATGACACAGTACTTCGAACCGGGTTTCAGTTCAATCTCATACCGGGTGCCTTTGTCTTTGGGAAGCTCGCATGGCACGGATTCCGGGACCTTGAATTCCACCAAATCCTTATACAAAGGATTTGTCTTCAAAGACTCCCAAGATTGAGACGTGTATCGATCAATCCGGACCTTCTCATCGAGGACGCTCTCGTCCATCGATGAGCTACTGAGAACCCGTTTGCTCTCAGTAAACACTTGTGCCGACCGAATATCGGCGACGTACTCGTCCTCTATGACGAGTACGCAGATCTGCTTGATCTTGTCACTACGCAGATCTCACAAAAACAATTTAAATTCTAGGGTTGGCAACTTGATTACCTCCGAAGCTGACTTCGGGGGCGTCACCAGATCAAGTGTATAAGCGCCTACACTTGATCCGTCATTCACCAAGACATTAACTGTCTCGGTGCTTTTCTGGGAAAACACACCCGCAGGTGTTTGGGAAAACACACCCTCAACATAACTCTCTCGGGAGTTGTCACTCTTAGGAACGCTGGACTATATTTTAACACGTGTAATGACTGTGAGTGTACAACCACAGTCACGTCCTCTTCGATCGACTCTCTTTTAGTTAAAAGGGCTTGATCTACGCTCGACTCGATGATATTCGATATCGCTGTAGCGTGTTGTTGATCCTGAACAACACTCACTTCTCTTCCTGTCTGCACCCTTCTTGGTGAGCATCCATGTCCCAATCCACTCGACCTTTCGTGTGGTGAACCATCGGCAAAGCATGTGCCTTTACACGATTGCTGGAAGCTGGTTCCACAGTGGAGTGGCCTTCTAAACTGTGATCGTTTGCAGTCGTACTAACGATCGTACCACAAGTGAGGCCATCGCATTCACTCGCAGTACATCCACACGCTTGTGGACGCTTCAAGACATTCATCAGATGGAAAGATATGAACTAACGGTAGGCATCTCCACGGATCGATGCTCCTAGCTGATCCGTGGCTGGCATTTTCTGAGCCACGGCAGACCGATGATGACATCAAATTTGTCATCTAGATTCAGTACGATAAAGTCATCATCGTATTGTTTTCCTTCTAGCGAGTAGTGGATTCCCAGTACAGGTTTGTTCACTGTTACGGATGCGCCTGTAGTAAGGCACACCGTCATCCTTGTTGGAGGGAACTCTCGCTCAACATAGTTGCGACTACTATCTTCTAGCGACAGTCGTCGAATGAAACTGTTCGATGCCCCACAGTCAGCTAGGGCGCGAAGTGACAATCCACTTGTCACTTCGATCTTCACAATGATGATGAGGGACTCCTCATCACTAGGGCAGTAACACACAGCGACTGCGTGTTAGGAGCAATCTTCGTCAAGGGTCCTGCAAGTTCTCTTGACGTTGCTGGGTCAGCAGGGTGCTCCCTCCCTAATGACCTTGTCCGTTTTTTGACGGTCCAACTCGCTGTCGCGACTTAGCGACATGGTCGGACCCACGCCTTGGACCCTTCATTGGACAACGGCGGTCATCACGTCCTGTTTTCTGACGTGTTACAGTACTCGGAACACTACACTCATGACCGTAGTGTCCAATCTTTCGACAGAGGTGGCATCTTGCCGTTCGCTTGTGCTCGTATAGCGAGAGTTATCGCTCTCAATGTAACAGAGGTCCATTGGTTCGGGACCTCCTGCTTCTTGTCGCCTCTCGGACGATAGTTGAACGAGTTAGCCTGAGACTGTCTCAGGCTGAAGTACTCTTGTTCCGCATACGCTATCGCCCTTTCCAGCGTATGGAAATCCTCTCGGAACATGTAGGTCTTCACCGGCCCATCCACAAGGCCGTAGTTGAACACGTTAATGAGCGTATGCTCATCAACAGGGTTCTCCGTAACGCTACTTGCAAGGTAGCGTAGGTGCCGTGCGTAAGCGTGCACGTCACGCTTACCTTGTTTAGCCTCAAGAGTACAGAGCGTGCTCTGAACTCCGCTCTCGGCAGCTCAACCGTGTCTCTGAGCCGATACCTCAAGATCTCCAACGACTCAAACACGTTTGGGTCGTGAGGCTTGAGCCCTAAGGGCCAAGTCTTTGCTCGTCCCTTCAAATTTAACAGGGCGAAGGTGACTTGCATCTCGTCACCCTCGATGTGACGGGCCCTAAAGGTATCGTCTTACTCGACGAACCATCTCAAAAGGGAATCTTCATCGGTTCCCTTGTACCTTAAGATGTCAATCTTCAAGGTTTCGGGTCGACGCGTGTGCGTCGGCCCGCCCATCGACTGACGGGAGCCTTGCTGCTGTAGCAAGGCTATCTTCTGTCGTTCGACGGCAATTTCCCCTTGTTGGAACTTGTTGATAGCAGCATGTTGCTGGTCTCTGTTTAGAGACTCCAATATACCACTTATGGCGTGGTCGCCCGTGAGCACACTCATGCGGCCGACTGCCTCCCATTTTGAGTCACTCAGGTGGGAGTAGCCTTCACGTGTGACGCGAAAGCTGTCGTCTTCTACGTACAACTTGCGCATGTTGGACGGACACTATGTAGTCGTTACTCGGACTACAAATTGCCACTAGGTGTAATGGGGTACCTTTGTCTTTGTCCAGGAAACTTCACGTACACTGGTACGTGCAGAGGAAGCTAATCTACTTGAACAACTCGTTTAAGTAAAGGTAAAAAGAGAACTGTATTTAATATAGTCGAGCTATCTAAATAACCTTATTCTTCATCTAGCTATATTAAACTACGCCGTCGCATGACGTCAACCTGCTCACCACTCATTGCGCGCGTCTAGCAGCGATTAGTGGAAATCTATGGTTGATGTGTCTTTTATCAACCAATCTTTGAGCAGTGAATGAATTTTATCCTAAAAGGGGATAATATCATTTCAATATTACCCATCCCGGATAATATTGGTAGAATATTGTCATACTAGACACTATTCCAGTTGACACCGTTTGGTGTCAATTTCGTGTAACGGGCTACCCCGTTACACTACCTGCAGTAAATTGATGGTCGAAGTATGTTAAACTGGATTGTGTCCGCAACATGTTAAGCCTTCCACAAGCACGGGGTAAGGGGGCTCCAAAATTAGATTTAAAAGAGCTCCAGGAAAAGGCATAAGCACGGACATCATATAATTTTTGGCCCTCATGCTCAAAATGAGGGCTGTGAGCACTTTTGCTTGCTCCCTCCTATCGTTTTTATCCTGCAGTCCGATTGGAAAAAATGCGCGTTCGAAGCATCTCTCATTATGTTAAAGAAAACTACCAATTTAATGATCACAGTGCCAAACTTTGCAACGCATCTCACAATTAATCATACATCACTTAAAGATTTCGATACGCTTTGCTTCGCCTGATGCAGGTTGAAACGGGGTTACACGGCCGTTATTACACCAGTTATTTGTGTGCACACACCAAGTAATAATCGGTGTATCTGAGTGAAACGTACTGATACCATGTACTTACGATAATACCGCAACTTATCGGTAGGGGATAGGGGATAAGACTTCTGTCATGGGATCGCGATGTAGAGGTCAGTCATATAAAGGATTTATGGTGTTAATCACCGTAGTTAAAGAAGTAATTAAGTTCAGTCTTCCTTTTAAAACATTGGACACAAGCGCCTGGTAAAGGCGTAATGTGTTATAAGAGCATTAGCCTTGCAAAGGCGTTACTCTTGTTTAGCTGGCAGTGACTAGTTCGTGTGTGATTCTGTGAATCATAATCCCTCTGGAACTGAATTGTTAAGCTTGTACGCTTGGATGAAAATGCATCGTTGTCAGTTTGACATAACTAAGAGACTCTTTAAGTCCATCAATTCCTCTGTTAAGGACTCTAAGTAGCTCCGATACACTTAGTAGCACTCGTAGTCAGTCTACACCTGAGTCTTCGCAGACTGAATCCTCTGCGAGGATGGAGACGGCCATATACCTCTCTGAGGCCCAGCGGATCACGCTTGAAAATCTCAACGCGTTCGTTGGGAACGAGCAAGTGGTGCTTATCATGGCGCAAAGCCCGGAAGCCCTTCGTGTACGTCTTGAGGCCTTTCCAAAGGTTGAGTTTACGTTGATCGGACAGGTACATGACCATTTCGCATCTGCCATGCCTACTCGGCAAGTTCCAAACCGAAAACTAAATCAAGGACTCGCGCTCTGGTCTTAAGTGTGAAGACTTTTAAGAGGTAAGAGGAACAAAATTGCTTTTTGTGGGTAAAGAGATGGAGGTTGCCATCAGCTTGTCTCTGCTGCGGTCAGATCAGCAAAAGGCGGGCCTGGACCTACCGTAGTTAGGTAAGTGAGCCATGAATTGGGCCTTCACTTTTGACACCTCGATAGACGAGGCTTTTTTGCCTAGGACATGCTCAACCAGCAACAGTCTCGGTTGCTTACCCCGCCTAATCAGGCACATCGCGTGCGATCACGCTTACTGTCGACCCTCCAGGGTAAAAAGGACTTAGTAGATAATGTTCAGGAGCTGCAAACTTTCATTTCTGCTATAAGCTTAACCCTTTACCTGAGACAATTCTGGTAATCATTTTTATGGAGGGCTTCGCACTGGCGTTGCCGGAACAGAAGTGTTCCATGCTTGACCTTCAACGTGTAAGGGTGCCGTGGACAAAGCGTTGAGCGAAGACTTCAACGTATAAGCTGCCCGTTATGGGACTTATGGGCTCCAGTAGAACTCGTCGAACAGTGCTTATTGCATGGATCTGGCAGAACCCATGGATCTTAGTCTCTCTCTCAGTAAGACTAGGAAGCTGAGCTTTACGCTGCCGAACAGCGTTCGAACATCCGCAGATGTTTTACGTGCGGGAGCATCAAACATATTCGCCCCATTTGTCCTTTGAGAAGGACCAGACAGGCGCATTCGAGCCGACCTCCCGATACTAACCAGCGAGTCGGTAAGACGCGGGTAAACGTCGAGTCCAAGTAGGCACGAGGCGACCTGCCAGGAAGGATTTAAGCTCTGTTGTACCTCAAGGAGATGATAGTGAACAGGGCCTAGCCCCAAGTGTCTTTTTAAACAAAGTAATGAATCATGAGTACAAGCCAGGCTTGTTAGATGCAAAAGCAACGATAAAGGACTTTGTTAAGCCAGGGTCGATATTGAACGACTCCGGGACGTTTTAAAAATTGTGTCCGACGTTGTTACCTGGAAGGGAGTCAGTAGAAGATGAGGCGCTTAAAGCTCGAAAAATAAGACTATTACTGCACGCTTGGCGACAGATGCATGAGTCACTGTGCCTAAAGTTCCTGTGAACTTAGGCGATAAAATTTTGGACTTAGAAAGTATCGAACGCTGTCTAGTCCTTGACTAGGATAAGAGGTATGGCCTCATTCTTGGTATGGCTCGGCTAGAAAGACATGAGTCCTGGATTGACCGGAGGGTAAAGACCGTGGGCGCAACGCGCACTGTTCCTAGTGGAGATTTGGATAGTCATGAGCCCACCTCTGCTAGGAAACAGAAGCGCTATTGGCGCGAGCCACGTACTGAGACAGTAAGTGTTCTAAGCATCGGTATGGCTGAACTCATTGAGTCCGACGACGTCAACATGTTAGTTGCAAGCCACGCTCATTGACTTTTAGTGAAACGGCACGTAATCCTTCGTATGATGATCTTTGTGATAACTAATCACTAAATGATGAATGCTTTGCTGTCCTTTAACCAAGTCATTTTAAGTTTGGACCCATCTGGTAAGCGTAGAGTGGCATGTAAATACCCACTGAGTGATTTTGGCCGTGGAAGCGAAGCACTGAATGTCAGTTAAGACATTGTTCTTGAAACACCAAGTCATCAAGGCTGACGACTATTTGATGACCGTGGAGTGGCACGTAAGTACCCACTGGGTGGTTAATTACTGGAAGTGACTCATCACCAGATTTCGGTTATGGTATCGGCTTTAATATTAGGCAAAGTAAGGTGAAGCAGTTCGTCACCTTGGAGGCGGTGTAGTCCCAAATGTCGGTAATGACATCTGCTCTATTAAGTGAGCAGCTTAAGTTTGCTGGTGATGTTAGGTTGGGGACATTGACGTCCCGGGTGTCCATAATGAAACCGGCTCTTGTACAGAGCAAGTTAGAGATGATGATGATATCAACCTTAGGAATAAGAGAGTTTCAAAATCTTTAAGACGTTCAGTCTTGTCATAGAGACGACAGAGACTCGAAATTACAGCTATGCGAAGCAAGGCGTGTGTTACGTCACTGAGCGATACTAGCGAGCAGCTACATACACTCATTGATGAAGTGACTGGTGACGTCGATGGGTCAGTGGGTCTTGAGACTCTACCCTCCAAGACTACTGTGATAAGGTTAGATGAAATGTCTGTCGGTGAGTTTGGCATGACTTCAAATTTAAATGGATTATCTGTAGTGGTGATCAATCGTTCTGATATTAATTTAAACTCGTTGTAACTTCTTGACGAAGCTGTCTTGGACGACAACAAGGCAGCATTGAGTGTTCGAAGTGGTTTATTGATCTTTAAAGATCCTAGAGACTCGTTCCAATCTTTGGGAAAGGAGTTTCAGGATGTTGTGTAACACGATCAACCTTTCACTCTGCCCCTAATCGAGGCGTACGTCATCAAAACAGGCTCCTGGAACCAAAATCTATGTGACACGGCAACGAACCCCGCCGAAGTAGCATTGTGACGTTGCTGTAGATTTTGTACGTGCGAAGAACGCGTCTGGAAAGGTGCGTGAGAGCAAGTCTCCGCACTCGACACTGACATTTTGTGTCAGCCAAATGGCAAGTAGCGCATTGTGCATGCTTACAACAGGCTTAGTGCAGCCAGTATACCGGCATAAACGCCTATTCCTACGAAGGATGTTCTTTAGAACGCAATGGTAGGGTTGCACCATGTTCAGTGCACTCTATTTGGTCGACGAGTTTATCAATTGCTCATGCAAGCGAGTGAAATTCCACTTACAGCGGTTTATACTGCAAGCGGTATGCTTCAAAACTGGCTTGTTATGCCTCAAGGGGTGTCTAATGCTCCGGCTACATTTAAACGTCTTGTGACGCAATTGTTACGACCTCATTCGCAATCTGACAGATCTATTTCGATGACATCTTTGTCCCTAGCTATGCAGAACATGGTAGGTCAGATGTGGACATTCACATTGACCTTTTCCGAGCAGTGCTCGAGTTCAAGCGTACAAACAAGCTGTATGCAAATGTATCGAAGTTCGTTTTTGACGCTGAAGAGAGGTCCTTTATCGGGTGATTCACTGGGAATCGTGGCCTTTAAGCAGATCCCGCTAAGGTAAAGCTGATTGTTGATTGGTCGGTTCCGTCAGACCAAAAGGACTAGCGCAAATGACTCGGCCTTGCTAATTACTTGCACAAGTATAGTGCAAACTACGCTGAAATGGCAAGGCTACTATCCAACCTCCTCAAGAAGGATGCAATTTGGTGTTGGGACGCAGTCTATACTCAACCTTTCGTAGATATAAAAGCCGGTATCCATCAAGTTACAATTTTAGCTTCACCTGACCTAAGCCTGTCAGTGTCGTCTGTGACG